TCAGATATCTGCAGAGTGCAGGCTGAGGTGCGAGGTCTGAGAATGAGGTCATTCCATCCCAAGCTCCCGTCATTGGCTCCAGCCACGAGCACGGACTGTTCCCCGTCAGCCACCCCCATGTTCCCGCAGGGGCGGGAGATGATCCAAGCTTTCCAGGTTGGTCCCTCGATCCAATGAGATGGCGGTGGGGGGGAGAGAGCTTCATCAGTGCAGTCTCAGCGAGCGTCTCAGACAAACGAGGTAGACTTGGGGATAGTGATGCTTACACACATTTGGACACTGAAGTGCTCGCAATCCACTTGACTGCACTGCTGCCGTCTAGCTGAGGTGCTGTTTCTCCCGCGTCAGGCTCCCAATGGTGAAGAATATCATTAGTGGTAGCAAGCAATGTGCCTGGTTTTAGGTACCTACCTAATTATGAGCCGCCCATCTTAGGTACTTAGTCTACCTTAACCAGCCTCTACCGGTAGTATCAAAGCTCTTGTTGCAATCTGTGCAAAGCGACTGAAACGAAACGTTTTAAGATGTGGCCAACGTGACCATCTCTTATTTGCAAACGGCCAAATACTATCCTTCTTATACCTAGGTAATGACGTTGAGCACAGCTGTCTTTAATGGTTAATCCAGGCGGTCCGAGACACTGAAAACCAATTACCAAAGCCCAGTCAAGAACGAGATACGGGGATGCGTAGACGGGAGTGTCCAATCTGGGGAGTTCAATGGCAGTTGGCAGTGCTAGATATTCCTTACCTTTGCAGAATTCCACGCCGCTGAGGGAACAGGTCCGCCCGCTCTTTCCCCGGATCTGCCAATCTTGGGCAAACTCAGTGGACATCGAGTTCCAGTCTGCACCCCACCAGGATTTTACCTTATCGTTGATGTAAATGTTGCAACTCTTTCCTCGTCTTGAGGTGCCTACCAAGGATTCCTTAGTATGTATCAAGGTACCTACTGTGCAGTAGATATCTGCTCGAGGTGATGTGCCTTTGGTCGTGTGTCCACCGCTGGGCGACCCACTTGGCCGCTGCACCTTGCCTCTCTGGGACGCAGTTGGATTGGAGCGCTGAAATGGGGGTACCTCCCCCAGGTACCTGGTCTGTTTCGTTCCCCGTCCTCACTTCTTGCTCGCATTGCCTCGCCATACCTAACGCTCCTTAGCAGCAATCCAGCAACCGATTGATGAGCACCGCCTAAGGTAGTAGTACACTACCTTTGCAGACAGGGGTCGTTCGTGAACCCAGCAAACTTCCCCAGCCATTGCATTCCACGATCCTGGAGCTACCAACCTCAACTTGCGCTCACCAACAGCTTCAATTGCTACCCCGTGATCCCTTCCACCGATCTTTCCCACGCGCACTCGACTCCTCGCAGGCCCATTCGATCTGTTCCGCCCATCTTGTCCCTTCTAGATGCAGCTTGCACTCTTTGCGCGCCACCGTGGGCTCCCGAAAGTCGATCCTAAACCTCCTCACGCTTGCCCGGACCCAAACCCCGATTCCATAAGTCTGTCGAGTCTCGCCTGAGCCCGTCCGCCCACTTTGCCCGGCTTCGCTTCGGTCGGCTTTGACGTGCCTGGTCATCGCCTTGCGGAGGGATGCAGGCCAACAGAGGAAACGCTGAGGCCCTGGGTCGCAAGGCCAAGGTGCGTCGCCCAAAAAATACCACTATCCATCATGCCACCCATCTTTTTGTTTCGCAGTCCTCCCAATCGCCCTGCGTCGTGTTCCACCAAGTCGGCCATTTGGCTAATACTACTATGACAGCTTGCTCGCTCGTACCAGGAGCTCCTCGAGTGAGTTCCACTATCCGCCCGCTCCGGTGTGAATCCTAGGCTAACCTCTGCTGCTTCCAGCGAGTTCTCCAACAAAGACCTCAGCTCCGTCGGCAACTACACTCTCGGTCGTCTCATCGGAAAGGGTTCCTTTGGCAAGGTTTACTTGGCCTCCCACAAGCTCACCAATGGCTCCAAGGTAGGCAACGGCCGACATGCGTGCTGGGGCAATACTGTCGAGTCTGGGCTGGTTATACTCATTGACTGGGGTATAGGTCGTCCTCAAATCCGCAAATAAAGGCGACTCGAATCTCGCACGCGAAATACATCACCATCGACAATTCGTCCATCCACATATTGCCAGGTTGTACGAGGTCATAGTCACGGAGAATCTGGTGTGGCTGGTATTGGAATACTGTGCTGGTAGGCTTTATCGTTTTATTGCTAATACAGAAACGATGATTGACAAAGACTCGATAGGCGACGAGCTTTACAACTACCTCCTCGAACATGGCCCCCTTCCCGTCCACAAAGTCCAGAAGATTTTTGCCCAACTCGTTGGCGCTGTGGCATACGTACATCAACAATCATGTGTCCACCGCGACCTCAAGCTGGAAAACATCCTGTTCGACAAGCACGAAAACGTCAAGCTTGTAGATTTTGGTTTCACAAGAGAATACGAGGGGAAAGCGAACTATTTGCAGACATTCTGCGGCACAATATGCTACTCGGCACCCGAAATGCTGAAAGGCGAAAAGTACGCTGGAGAAAAGGTCGATGTCTGGAGTCTTGGCGTTATCCTATATGCCCTACTATGCGGAGAGCTACCGTTCGACGATGACGACGACAACGTTACACGTACAAAGATCCTCAGCGAGGAACCGAAGTTCCCCGACCATCTCCCAACTGCCGCCATTCCGTTACTCAAGTCTTTGCTCTCTAAGCGACCCCTACTCCGACCCTCCCTCCCCGACATCCTCACCAATCCTTTCCTTGCCGAACATTCCCCAGCACAACAAGCGATCCTAAAACTGCAAAGGCCTCCGCCTTTTTCAACGCATCTAGAGAAGGAGACTCTTCAGCGCATGCGGGGAGCAGGTGTCGATATTGACTCCGTCATCGAAAGCGTGCTTGCGCAGCGCTGTGACGCTTTGGCTGGCTGGTGGACGCTGCTTATTGAAAAGGAGCAGCGAAAAGTCAAGAGAAGAGAGAGGAAACGGCGGGAAAGAGAGGCCGAGAATAGGAGCTTGCGCCGTCTGTCCGCCGCATCCAGCAGACTCGAGCGGATTGCGCCTGTGTTGCAAGAGGTCGATGAGGACGGCGGGCTGACAAACCGCTTCATCAGACTTGAAGACGGCCCTATCACACCACGGACAAGAGGCCGGTCAGAGAGAAGAAGCGCGCATTACGCCGACTTGGGGGACTTGCCCGGCCTGCCCGAGCACAGCAAGGAAAACGGAAGTCCAGATACAGAGGAACCACCTCCACCAATCGATAAGGACTCAATCCGGTCTGCCAGTACGTCTAGACATCGTCGCCCGGTTCCGCCCCCTAAGGAGGGCGTGATCCGCAGCGCACGATCTCGGGGTTCGACCCTTCATCTAGTGACCACTTCGGAAGCTTTGGCGGCTAATGGGACGCCAGAGCGACCACCTGAACAACAACAAAAGGTTCGCAAGAAGCCCTCACAGGCCATCATTGCGCATTGGAAGAACTGGACACACTGGTTCTTCGAGAACACCCGTAGGGGACGGCACGCGAATAAGAGAGGGAGTCACTCAACGCCTAACCTGGTCGATAAAAACGGCAGTGTTGCCGGCAGCAGCAGTAAACACTCCAAGGACACGAGTCCTCGGCCGCAGACGAGCAAGTACCCAACAACGGATGCTGGCGTACCTCAAGGAAAGGCCGGATTGCCTCGTGGCGTAGTGGCTAATGGCCATGCCAACAAGGCACTGCCAAGCCACGGAGGGTCTGGAGGCTTCAGCAGTCCGGCCTCGGGTGGAGGCTCCGTCCCCTCGCGGGTACCGTCCCGAATCACAACATCTTACAAGCGACAATCGCTGTCGCCGTCTCCCATGACCCCACGAACTACGATGCGGCGCTCTTCGGCAGGGTTGAGAGGCCGAAAGTCCACTTCTTCATCGGTCTCGTCCATTCGTTCGATGCCTCATCATCATCACTCTCATTCCAAAGCTTCATCAACAAGCTCAAACGGATCGGTCTCGACTTCCATGTCCAAGAACACTCTCCAGCGCGGGCAGTCGCCTCATCACTCTGTCAAAGTTCTTCCAGCGACTCCCACCGCGACCGCCTTCCCGTCGAATATCCGTCTAGTTCGAGGGCCAGGTCCCCCGGCTCCCCTTGCTCTATTCAATGAGGGCATGCCTCCCCCACCGGTAACGTCAGGAATGCAGGCTCCAGGCTCGCCTAATCCCTTTGCCCTGGGAGGGGGCATCCAATTTGCCAAGCGAAAGCGGAACATCTTCAAGGGTCCGATGCTGGCCTTTGGCGGAGGTGGCAGCGCAGGCGGTGGCGGAGGAGGGGGCGGCAGCTCTCGAAGCACAAGTTCCAACCATTCACGCAGTGCAAGTGCTTCTGGACTCGGACGACGGTCGGGCGAAGCTCCCATCCAGGAAGAGGAAGAAGGCGAAGAAGCGGAAGAAGAAATCGAGGAGGTTGACGCTTTCAGCCCCGTTGTTGGGGGGCCAGGAGAGCGCATCGAGGAGCAAATTATTGAAGACAGCGAGACAGAGGCACTGGCAGAGCAGGCGGAGGAGAAGGAGGAAGATGCTCCTCCGGTAACGCCAAAAGCATCAGCCGCCCCTGTCCCGACATGATCAACCCCAACTACCCTTTCTGCCGTCCATCAAGGAGGATGATGGCCACTTTTTTCTCCTCAAATACAATGTTTACTGCGAGTTTGATCAAACACGCTCCAAGGAACGAGTCCAGGCAAAAGCTTTCATAGTGTTTTTTTCTTCTTTTCTGTATATTCCCCTTTGGCGACTTGTACTATACTTAGAGGATACCTTGTACCAAACAAAGGGTGTTGATATTTCTTTTGCAGTGAAGATAAAACCTCGAGTCAACGCTTGATGTATTTCTCTATAACGATGTCTAAACCTCGCTGTTATTCTGTCATTGTGCTTTGCGTTAGTTCCCAGCCTCCCGTCAGCGAATGCGCGCAAGTAGATCACATTACGCCGAGATATAGCGTCTATCAAGTTCAGGTCTTCTTGATGGCCTTGGTAGTCTCGATGAGCCCGTTTCTCGCAAATATGATATTACGCATAGTCGCGTCTGTCGCGCATACGGACGCATCGAATGGCTTTAGGTCTGCGTCTCCCATGATGGCGAGTGCAGCTAGTCCAAGGAATCCGTGGAAAATGTCTGGCGGGCCTCCAGGATACTTAGAGAACCCACCGATGAGATGTTGTGTTTTTTTGGTGATGAAGCGTCGTGACGGCTCGGCGTCAATGAGATCGGTGTGACCAAGCATCTTAAAAACGTCAGCAAACCGTGGCCCTTGGCAGTCGACAATCTATATTCCTTGTACCTGTAGTGTCCCTCCTACCCACCAGCAATAGCATGTGTCCGCGACCTTGTTACACCTTCCATTGAACCCAACGAAGCGCAGGTTTGGATCCAATGTCAGCTCGCTCAACGACGCGGGCAGCGCAAAGTTGGCATGGTCGGGATCGTCCGAGTCGTCTTCTTTCTCGAGGTATTCGAACTGGCGGTACACCAGGAACTTGACCAACAGGGACGCATCAGGGACGCCTTGCTGAAGTATCTGGCTGTCGTGTGGAGTTCCACTCTGGTCTGGGGGTCGATCGAGGAGGACCAGCGCGCTGACGGCGCACCATGCGTAGCCAGCTTCAAACCTCATATCAGCTTCACGTATTCAGCATCATCACCATTGTAGCAGGAGCGTACCATGAGACTCGTTTGCATGGGAGCTCTCAGCGACTCCACCGTCATAGGTCTGTCCTTGGCGGATGTGCCGAACGAGGCCATCAACGTCAATGTCCTCCACCCAGTCCTCGTCTCCCTCCTTGGCATCGCCCCGTAGAGCCCACCGTATCGTGGCGGCCAGAAAGCATAGCCGCATGTCCCTCCCGCCAGCAATGGCCCCGTCGTCCAGCACGAGCTCGCCAAAGCTGCCATCGGTCCTCTGCAGCCGCCTCAACCACCGCAACGTCGCAACGCGATCCACGCCCGCAAAGGCGCTCTTGGCTTCCTCTGGCCCGTCCGCGACAATGGCCAAGATCAACAATGCAAAGTATGTCGAGGCCAGATTCGCCGAGCTCGCATTCCTCGTTCTAGGCGTTGCCTTTTCAAAGTCCCAGCCGGCGTATAAGTCGCTTGGCAGAGCATGGTTCGGAGAGCCGCAGAAGCCGCCGCCGGGGTGGTAGAGACCCAGAACGAACTTGCGCGCGGCAGCTCGGTCGGCGGGTGTGAGGAGATGGGGGGCATCCTTGGTCGGCTCGGAGGGGGAGAGTATGTCGAGGGCGGCGAGGATGAAGAAGCTGAGAGCTATGCGCGTGCTGTCGGACGACGTATACTGGTGCGGGAGGAAGGTCTTGTGGCAGCGTTGCCAGTATTTGATGTGCCTCGCTTTCTCGAGCGGCATGACTGTGTCGGCTGCCATCTTGGCCGTGATGGATTCGAGGATCGCAGTCGGGTGGGAAGAGTGTTGGTGGGGTTTGTTACCTAGCTCCGGGACGTTTGGTCAAGTGAACAAAATCCCCCGATGGTTTGCAGGACCTTCCATCCCTCCTCAACCCCCAGGCCGGCATAGGACACAATCAGGAACGGACCCCACCCCCCACCAAAGCTGCACCTTCAGCTTAAGCAAGTTTAGCTCAGCGAGCTGCTGGAAAGAACGACAGCGCTAGCAGGGAGGAGGTCCACTAGAAGACCGCTGAACGGCGCTGAAGCCTCGCCCCGTCTCAGTAGATGGGACGAATGAGAAGCTCCAGATCGATAAGCCTCGTAGCCACAGGGTTACCTGGGTACTTCGCTTCGTTTGCTTGCTGATAAGACATGCGCTGGACTGGTGGTCCATTTCTTTTCTTGTCCGACGCGACTGCGCCTACGACTGCGACGTCAATTGTCCCCCTCTCTTTCTCAACGAGCTTGCTTTAGTTCCCTCACCTTGATGAATACAGCGCATCGCAAGGAACCGTAACCATGGCGATCATATCAGCGAAAACAATCATTACCTCCCTCTCCCTCTTCCATGTCACCCTCGCATACTTCTTTCTGACGAACCCGGCGACCATCGCAGACCAGGCGATGGTGTACGTGCTGGGCGAGTCGATGGGCATGGCAAGTCTCCAAAGCTTCACTTCATGGTCCATTCGTAACAAGGTCGAGCGCTAACATCTCCTCTTAAGCCCCATGCGCGAAGCTTCGAAAACAGGTCTCCCGCCCTCGCTTTCCTCGCCGCCGTGCTTGGGATACTAGGCATCAGCGACCTCGTTACCCTCAGCATGCCCGAAGAAGTCTGGTTGATCTACCACTGGGGAACACAGGGTAAGCAACGTGCTTTTCCTTCTTATGCTGGTAGTTCGAAGCAGTTTCTCACAACCCAATTATAGCACCAACTCGTATGGTCATGTCCTTCGGTTTTGTCCTCTACACCTTCCTCTTCGGCCCTTCATCCCCCCTTTATGGCGGAACCTCGAAAGGCGGCAGTCGCTTCGCCCATCCCTCCGTCCAGTCGAATAATCCGCGCTATACACCTTCGACTTGGGGCGGTGACGGCCTCAAGAACCGTGTGTTCTTGACCTTTGCCTTCCTCGAGATGTTATGCTGGTTCTGGGTCTGGATGACCCTGCGCGAGGAGCAGGAAGAGTTCCAGCGTAAGAACCAACACAAGAGGAGAGGAAGTCAGTCAGGGTACAACTGAGCGACAGGCTTATCGAGTGTACTAAGCCGTTCGCTGGAGGCATTGAAGGCGTTGCGTTCACCCAACCACGGGAGCGATCAGACGAATATGCTTCCGCGCTACCGGAAGGCCCGGGCCGCTTGCGTGGCCCCTTTAGCATTGCGTGGAGTTTTGGGATGGCAGGCGCTACAAAAATGGCATACTCGGCGTAATAATCATTTGATGTGCGACATGACGGTTTTCTATTTTTGGGCTCCCGAGCTTATGAGTGATAGCCTCCTACTCTAGGTAACTTGAAACAGAATAATGAGTTGATATAGGCTACATCATGAATGCAATGAGCCGTTTACTCCCATCGCACCGATTCCCAACCCTTCACGTTCGTCCGCCAGCTGTCGGTCACCCGCTGTGACCAAACACCAACGTGAGAACCTGCCACCTCGCGTATCTGTTTTGACAAGTCGTCCCCAGAATCCGTCTCAAACGTCCAAGAGCCCAGTTTCGCATTCAGTGTGTTGCTTTCCTGCTTCAGGAGAGCCACCCGTGCCTTGCCTTCCGTGAAGGCAGTGCTAGCCGCATTCTCGAGAGCCTTGACTTGCGCCATCACGTCCTTGGGCACGTTACTCTGCCCAGAACGGTCCCTCTCCTTCTCACGGTCATTGAAAGTCACTATGTAAGACGTCGCTAGCTTCACGGCGGCGGCAGCGTCGCGAAGAATCGACAGACCGTGGAGTGAACCCAGCATCATTAGTGTCTTGGACCCTTCTGCATCAGCTGGCGTCGATAGCGCTTGCGCGCGAAGGACCTCCAGGCCAGACTTGATCGCGGACACAATGCTTGCCAGAAGCTCGGGAGGTGGTGGGCTGCGACTGGCGGAGACGGAGAGGGGAATCAGGGTGATCAGAAGTGAAACGACTTCGTAGTAGGTTTCCTCCTGTTGAGTGAGATTCTTTCCGCGAGTGTGGAGGAATCTGCTGAAGGTGTTGCCCAACCTCTGAAGGGATTCCAGGACGAAGGCCAGCTCTGCCGCGGTCGTCTGCGCAACGTTGGCCACTTTGTAAGACGATGCGGGCTTGAAGGTCATAACCTCAAAGAACTTTTCTGCGGCGAGGGCTAAGTGGGAACGCAGGTTCTGGATGAGACGTTAGAAATGGTACCTAGTACAGTGGAAGGGGACATACCGATGGATCAGGGCCTAGCCGCAGGACGTCGTATATCGGGCGGCCCGAGGCAGCTTCGAGGTTAGGCACAGATCCGTAGTCGATGACTTCGTTCAGCACAGAGTTGTCGGTGACTTCCTCTACGAATAATAGTCAGCACGAGGGAACGACGTGTGGAACGACGTGGGAAACCAAGTTAGCCTGGTCATGACTTACCAATCGCCGGCTCTTCAAAGATCGAGTCGCTGCGGATATCCAGCGCTCGAGCAGCTTGGGACTCCTCCACATATCCCATCACCAGGGTGCAGCTTGACCTCAACCGCTCGGTGTAGCTAGGGATATCGAGAATGGCAGTGTAGCTCTCGGCCTCGAAAGCATCAGCCAGCCTTCTAGGCATTCTCAGCTTGAGAGACGCCCGGTAGTGGGATTTCAGTCCCTGCATCAGCCCTCTCTCAGGTCTATTTGGTGGTAGAACTAAAGTGGGCGCAATGGTTGATAGACGGTCAAAGAAGTAGGGGCCAAGCGAATCAATAATAGTACGCTTCACGTCTGCGGTATCCCACACTTCGCGAGCACGAGAAGCACATCCAAGCACAAGATAGATGCGTACAAGGACCAACGTGAGTCGGGTGTGCTTTGGTGTTCTGGTGAGCTGGTCTTCGATGATGAGGGCAGCTTGAAGCAAGCGGTCAGGTCTACCGTTCTTCGAAAGAGAAGTAGGGTTGTCGATACCACGCTCGTGCACGCCGCTCAGCCTCACACAGCATGATGCTGCAAGGATAGCAAGTTCCGGGACACAATCGAGGTGGCCTATTTCAGTAGAGTTGAGGAGAGAGGAGTACAAAGTCAAGGTCGACTCCAGGAGTTTCTTGACGCAGGTGGTGCAGGTAGATGACTTGTTGGTGGTGTTGCAAGTTATACACTTCCAATCATTTGGTTTCTTTACATCCTCATTCGGGACACGAACGAGGGTCTTGGGTGAAGATAGTCCGAGGTACTGCAGCTTGTACGCAAGCGCCTTCACAGATGCTGATCTCGCGGAGTCCTGAGACTCTTCTGACAATCCAATGAGGAATTCGTATGCCAGTGCTTTGATCTCCTGTGGTGGCAACCGCTCGACAAAGCCCTTGACGTCGTCGAAACAGGCGGGCGATTCGCACTCAACCTCAATGTATTGGCGCAATTCCTCGAATTCATTCGATGCGGCATCAGAGCTAGACTGCGTGCTCTTGGGGAAGAGGAAAGCTGCTTCAACCTTGGCCAGACGGACGTTGCGCTTATAGATGGATCGTACACCCTCTTGAGTCAGGAAGCGGTTAATGAGTTCGGAAACCTCGATCGAAGCCCTGCTACCATCAGCCAAAGTTGTCATCGATCAAAGGTGTCCAACTTACTCTTGGGTCTGTCCTATCTGGCCAGCGGCATTGAGGAATTTCTTCCACACCGCATAGTCACAGGCGAGGAGGCTCAATTTCTGGTTTTCGTCTGTCGTTGACAGGCAGTCCTTGCACAGGTCGTAGACAGTTTTCCACTGGCCCTTCCGCTCGAGAACTTCTATCGCTTGTAAAAACAAGTCTTTGCGTCCTTTCCTGAATTGGTAGACAGGGTTGAGGGTTGGGCCCTTCAGAGCCGCCTCCCATTCAGCCGTAGAACCATGAGCCTCGAGAATGCGGTAGAAGAGAAGGATCTCTTCTTCCGTCTTGATGGCTCGGTCGGAGACTTCGCCGTTCTTCTCGGCACCGCTCTATCAGCTAGATTAGCCGCCATCATGGATTACTGCCATCAATCTTACCTGTTCTGCAAATTGCGCGGCACGCTGCATTTGCTTCAGAGCGAGCATACCATAGAGCTGCTTCTTTCCAGCTGGACATTGCTCATTGGTCTCACACAGAATTAGCGTGCTTCTTGGCGTTGAGAGGGTATCAAGAACTCACTGCTAGCAGATGCGTAATGGCGATGTTCCAGAAAAGGAAGCTCCTTTCTTGAGGGAATGACTTGTCGAGCACTGCTGCAATCTGTTTGCCTGCATCAGCATCTTCAATCCTTCATGGGCTCAGGACAGAGATGAACTCACTTGCTGTGCGCTAACCAGATCCCAGTGTAGCAGACATGACTCCAAGCATCTCGTTCCACCATTTTTGTCCTTGGGCTTGGCTTTTACGTAGCGCAGCTTCAGGGGGCCAAAGGTCTCGGAAAAGTCTCGGTCCTCAATAAACTCCTCTGAAGCCCACTCAAGCAACTCCAAAGTGTCAGGATCTCTCACGGCAGTCGGATCCTGAACCAGCTTGCGGATAGCAATGAAGGGCGATGCCTTCTCCAACGGTGAGTCCAACTGACTTTCTGCGCATATTTTGACAGCCTGAATGATGCGGTTAGTTCTATTTTAGGGTTCACATTTGGCGGTGAGGTGAGAGCAAACCTCAAAATAAGGATCCTTGAAGGTCCGGAATCGCTGCTCCGCGAGACGGATGGCGTTGGCCCATTGTCCGTTATTGAAAGCCGACTGCAGCTGCAGATCGGTGCCGCTCCTCAGCTGAGGCCGGTTCCAGGACATGGTGATGCTTCTGATCGGATGGCGGGGCAGAATTAGCTTGGAGGGGCACTGTGCTGTAAGAGTGCAGCAGGAGCTTGTGAGACGTTTAGGGATGGGCATTGTGTTGCTTGATTGGTTGCTCGGGTAAATACTCTTCCCGAAATGCCGACCCCCCACGTTTGGGATTCCGGCGCCGTTGGCCGGCCGCGCTCCTCCCGATAGCCCGACGCCGATCCGGCCGACGTCGCCGATTAACCTCCAAGCCCGGATCGGGGCTGGCTATGGTTTCTAGTGAGACATGTCGACTACTGGATGGGACACATAATCTATCATCAAACGAGGCGCATCTTCCGCACGTTGTCGAGCATGCAGTGACTAAGTCTCTACAGGGCACTACCTGGACTTGGATACCTTAGCCTGCAGACACATGGCAGATTTGGTCTAAGGGCAGCCATCGAGACACAAAGAGAAGAGCTGGTATCTATCTTGAAACATGACCGAATTACTCATACACATGAATACTCCTTTCCATGCATGCATGTTGTTTTACAAAATGTACAATGTCGTATCTTCTTGCACCCGCAAAAAGTTTGTCGACTAGATTCGGTTCGGATCGTCTCGGTATCATATCGGCATTGGCGAACGTCGTTTACACCCATTCACATCACATCACCACCAAGCACCCTGCGCCTTTCGGTCTGCCTTGAGCTTGTCGAACTGCTATAGAATTAGTGTCTGAGAATACGGCTAGCTGCGCCAACGGAGTGAGGAGGGAAGGTAGCGTACCCAAGCCTTCTTGCAATCTCGGTATGCTCTGGGATATCAAGTCAGTCCAGTATTCTCGCGCAGCTCAGAAGGCGGCCAAGAGCCTTGAACAACAGAGAAAAGGTAGCAACTCCCACTTACTGAAAGTAATCTCCGCACATGGCCCTGTCTCCCCCATTCCGGTGCAGGCATTTGATGCTCTTCTGCGCAAGCTCTTGACAAGGATCAAAGTACTCGCTCTTCGCCTTCCTACGCAATATGTTTGAGCGATTGTCACGAGGTTGAACGTGACACGCAGGCCGGCCTACCCTTCAAACTTGGCCTTGCTCTCGGTGTAGGTCTCGTCGACCTTTTCGGGTGCGGCCGTCGCAGTCTTCTGAGGTTCCGACATTTCGATAAAAGGTATTCTTTCGAATTCCGCAGGATTTTCGGGGCTTGATATTCGGTTATTCTCGGTCAATTCGTAGAACGATTGAAGGTGCGATGCGCCGGGAATTGGTGTTGGCGGTACGCGACGAACATTTGCGTCGGTGACGTTACGATTGGAGAAGGTTCTGGTTGCGATAAGATAAGAGCTGTTTGGTGCCTGGCGACTTGGGGTTCTATTTTAAGGCATCTATGATGACCTCTCTTCAATCGCCCATTCGCTGACTAAGGCAAGAATAAGTGAATATCCCCCCGGCTGCCAAGAAGAAGAAATGGAAAAAAAAGCCTAAGTGCAATGAGCAGCAGAATGCGATTTGAAGCGAGCACAGGGCAATGCCCAGCAGCGAGAGAACCTTAAGATCCGCTTCTATGATTGACTGCCCAGTGTCCACGCACCGGCTCATTTTTGCCGTCGACAAATACTGCGTTAAAGGGTGGGAATCCGGCAACGCCTGCCGTGCCTGGCCGATTTTGCCGACAAACAGAGGTCTTTCCTCAATAGAGTTCAAGGTTTTCTATAACTCTATCGTTAAGGTATCCGTAAACCGCTTTTCTGGATAACAAGTGGTGCTCTTGTGCATGGTGTTTATTTTGACCACATTCGTCCCTCTTTTTCCACGTCGACAATAGTGCGTGTCCACGATGCTTCTTTGTTGATAATCCACCTGCATTCATCCTCCTATCTCTCTTTCCCCCTCTTATTACGCCATTTTGTACACAGACACACGGAATAGGGACAGAGCTGTCAATATCCCCCCTTTTTGGTCTTTTTTTCTCCCTGGTTGGACACCACCGCGCTGCCCATACGTCCACTCCCAAGTTCCACCTCCCACCGGCACCCACCGGCACGAGAGATACACGTTGTTTATTTGTCGCTGCCAAGAACCGTCATGTGGAGGGCAACTGTAAGAGAGACACACCGTTGCTTTTGAGAGCCACACCAATCGCCAATCTAACACAAGCTCGGTTCAGAAGCGCTGTCAGGTCCCGTGTCTTAGTCCGGCACGAGGCTTGACTGACACAGTGACACTACGTTTTTGGCTGACTGAAGAGTTTTGGCAACTTATTAATACCTTACACGTCCACCTCACTTCGAACCTGGAAGGCATATTAAAGTCTTGGTACGGGTATGAGTGCGTCGCGTGTAAAGGACTGCCGCGACTCCCCGTCTACGGATCCCGCGGATGATGTTTTCCTTATTCAGCAGAACCGGGGCCTGGAATCTTTCCGAGCTTCCAAAGTTCCCACAATCACAACTCATACCTTACTCACCTCGGCCGCCCCCTATTAACGCACACCGCAAAGAATTGAGCGGTGGACGGGAGAAAATTGCAGACGGGACGCAAATACTCCGATGCCTACCGCAGGTCACTCAATAAACCTGCACCGCCGCAGTCCTGCTAGCAGGCATCACCACCAACATCGGGCGGATCTGCCAGGTTCTTGCGAAATGAGTTTGCCATGCCCCCCGAGTTGGCCCGTCTCCCGAACCCAGTATGGTTTTCTTCTACACTACTCCGTACTTGTACTCAATCTCCACCGCCACATGCCTAAATGGACACTGGTCTCTACATACCAGCCTGGGAGGGATTGGCCCCTTTTTATCGAGTTTGCTCTTCAGTCGAGTAGCAAAAACCCCCCACAGTTTCCTTCTATCGCTTCGACAAATCTTTCTTGTACGAAGTATGTTGGCCCGTATGTTTAATTCTTCGACGGCCACTGGCACCAGGAACCCGAACAGGGAAACAGGCGAGTGTGGTTCTCGCCGCTTAGCTCGCCGTAGCGGCTAGACTATCCAACGGCCAGCCCTCTTGACTGGACCCCCAGCACAGTGCAGACACCTCAGAGTCGCAATGATGTTCTGTGGTCAGCAGCAAGATCATGCAACATACGATTGTTGAACCATACATGCCATCATCGTCACAGTATTTTTCAACCTCCACTTCCCGTCCCTCGTCCACAGACACAATACAATTCGTCCAATCCCCGAGTCAAGTGGCTAAAGCTCATGCTTTATGGCTCGGAAGTTGGTGGTGGGACCAACTCACCAAGAGACCGGCCTCACGGTTCGTCTCAGATCAGGTTGGCTTCTCAGCTCGGTTCAACAAAGGCTCCCGGAGTCCCAGCCAGCTTCCCAGAACTGGTCCCTAAATTGATTGACGTGCATGTCCGGGTCCGGCTCCGACACAATTTTCACGCCATAATCTCCGCTGCTTTCTCTCTTGCTCTCTCCTATCCTCTCGATCTCCCAATGATCCCTTTCTCTTGTCTGTGCCACTCTCCCCACCCATTCCCCAGGTCTTGATTTTTGCTTCAACCATCACACTCTTATGTACGGAGTACCTATCTCATGGAGATCGCGCTTTGGGTACCCTTACCGTGGCGGGCGAGCTGCCCTTGCGAATGATTCTGCCATTATTCCGTATCCAATTCTCATCAGCCCTTTAGATTCCATACTGGAGGCATCTGGCAAGCAGGTCAAATTCCAGATCTAGCCTCTCAAGACTGGTCCAATGCTATTCGACGTAGCACTCTGAGGCTCTGAGGGTTATGGTCAACTTGTGATGGCCGATGCTAGCGCCGCGTCGTACATCAACGACCTGAAACTGGGCGATTATCTGCTTCCTTCTGCATTCTACTTTATTAATGCCACCTCCCCACTGCTCCCCAAGAAGCCTGATTACAGAGTTGACAAGCCGTCAAGTGGCTCCAAAGTCCACCAGTGGGCAGTCAGCCACCAACGAGAAAGTCTCCATTTCTTCGACCATGTTTCTCAAGCGAGTGCTTGACCAGCTTGGGAATGATGGTCCTTCGAGGGTGCCCCTGTCGGAGACCTGGAGGGGGTGTGGCCACTCGACCGGGCCTTCCTGTCGCTCCAACCCCGGGAATCAAGGCCTAAGAAGGTTGTTTGGGTTAGCCGCGCCGCTGCAAGGGGCCTCGTCACGATCCACTACCACCCTGTTTGCATGTTTCACGACCCCATCCTCACTTTAATCGCAACGGCTTCATTAATGAATCCATCCTCGGTTGCGGCCGAATAGCAGGGCTTGACAGGGCCTGGCGGGATCCAACACGTTATCCACGGGCAGAACACCCCACGGACCCATTAGCCTCATCTCATTCTCTACGTCTTGCAGCGTTCCTGCAGCTCTTGGCAGGAGAGGAGGATGAGACGAAAGACTCCATCGAAGTATACGCACTGCCAGGGCAAATCCCTGCCCTCCACGAGTCCACATCAACACTTTGTATTGCGGACTACTGTGTAAGACCACTTGGAGTGGTCAGGGGCCCTAGCAGGCTGTCTTGCTGGGCAACTGACGGAATCGCCAGCTCTAGCCGCGCGATGAGGGGGGCGAGATGCAATCCTAGATTGGCTGCCTACCTCGACTTAGTGCGGTTAGATGGGCCTGGGTCGGAGATGGGCATAGATGATTCGAGATTGAAGCAGGAAAGAAGGGCTACTGGCCTACCCTACGGCTCGGGAGATGTTGTGGATGGGGCTCTAATTACATACAACCGTAGCAGCATAGACACGTCTTATAAAAGTCCCTCGTCCTGCTTCAGAACACCATCTTGTTGCTCTCCTCCTTCTTCATCATCACATCGGTGTCATTCTTTCCCTGTACTCAAGTCTCTCTCTTGTTGGCTGTGCCATACACTCATTTACGAACTAGACGTTCGCCCACGCTCACTAAGCACAACCTCAGTAACACTTTCACTTCAAATCCAACCACTTTTCAACCGAAAACTCCCCCCATCACCATCAAGATGCAGTTCTCATTCACCGCCGCGGCTCTTGCCACCCTCGTCGGCTACTCTGCCGCCCACACCCTCACCATTGACGTCTGGGTCAACGGTGCCGACCAGGGCGATGGCCGTTCCACCGGCACCGGTACCACCAAGTACATCCGTTCCCCCGATAACAACAACCCCGTCAAGGACATCACCAGCGACGCCATTGTCTGCAACGTCAACGGTGCCAAGGCCCAGACTGGCTTCGTCAAGGCCGCTGCCGGTGACGAGTTCAAGTTCGAGTGGTACCACAACAGCCGTGGTGACGACATCATCGACCTTTCCCACAAGGGTCCCATCAGCACCTGGATCGCCCCCTACACCGAGGGCAGCGGTGCCGAGGCCATCTGGACCAAGATCCAGGAGTCTACCTACGAGGGCGGCAAGTGGGCTGTTGAGACTCTTGTTGCCAACAAGGGTATGTCTCCCTCAGTCACCATTCCTTCTACCCTGAAGGCTGGCAAGTACCTCGTCCGCCAGGAGATCATTGCCCACCACGAGTCCGACACCACCTACGATGTCAACCCTGCCCGCGGTGCTCAGTTCTACCCCGCCTGCGCTCAGTTCGAGATCACTGGTACCGGCTCCGATGTTCCTCCCCAGAACTTCGACTTCACCACCGGCTACAAGTACACCGACGCCGGCATCCACTTCAACCTCTACAACGCCGATGCCTCCACCTACAAGGCTCCCGGCCCTGAGGTCTGGACCGGCGGCTCCGGCTCTGGCTCTTCCCCCGCCTCCTCTGCCGCTCCCGCTGCTTCTTCCACCGCCGCCGCCGCCGCCACCTCCGCTGCTGCCACCACCACTGCTGCTCCCATCGCCACCTCCGCCGCTGCTGCCAAGCCTACCACCCTCTCCACCGCTGTCAGCTCTGCTGCTCCCGTTGCCAGCTCCAGCTCCGCTGCTGCTCCCGTCGCTACTCCTACCAAGGCCCCCAGTGCCGGCTGCAAGCGCCGCCGCTCCCGCAAGGCCCGCCGCTCTGCTCACTAAATTGGTGTTGCGCAACGAGCCATGGAGAAGAGATAGAGTTGTAAGACTAAGCGGTCATAGATGGTCCTTTCAATCATGATGGTCTCACGAGTCTCAAGTTGGAGTTCTTTTTATCATAGACACCAGATGTGCAATCCAGGCTTACTGTGTCATGCCCGGTGCACGGTTCTAGAGGCACGAGTTTCCGTCTTTTGGAACTCGACCTCACTTCTGCATTCCTGTACATAGTACCTTGAATAGCATTAAGCCTGCATATACCAAAATTTCAGCGTTCTAATACTAAGTGAATTTTCTAGACGACGTTTCTCCCAGTGGCCACCGTGAGCAGTCGACGGCCCAGTTGAGGACACGGAGCGGGTTGTTTGATACATTCGCGTTTTCTTTCGTAGTTCATGACTCTGCAAATCCACATGAATGCCCCTAATAGCAAAATTTGCTTCGACCACCCCAGTAAGATCATGTCAGCCCACTAAGGTAAGGAGCCGGCATCAACAAAGTTGTGCGGGCATCCCACAGGCGATGAGGGCCTCGGGGGCAAGCTACTGGCTTCGCATATTAAACCATCAATTGCCGTTACAGTTTGGTGCTGGTCTTATCGAGGGCCAGATCGGGAAGCTAAAGAATGTCGCAATTAGATCTGCCAAGGAAAGGAGACAAGGAAGGATATTGACTCAAGATCCATGTTTTTATGGTGTATTTCATATGGCTGTTGCTGATCGTCCAATAAACTTTCAGGTCACCCAAATTACCTTACTTTGTGGTATTGTCACACTGTCCCCGTAACTATCAGCCAATAGCCTTAGTTTCTGACTTAATTTGTAAGATGCCACTTGCTGACACGCGTATTGCCGTAACTCCGTTCGACCTTGTGATCGATATCATCTTCATGGACAAAGAGATCATCCAAACGAGTTGTGGGTTCTGAGTAGAGCCAAACTATTAATTGTCATTCACACGAAAGGAACTCTCGATAGACACTTGTAGATCGTGGTTCGTTGTCCTGTCGAGTATTGCTGTGACACTGAGCATAAATCACCGACAGGGTTTTACATAGATTTCGTACGACTCGCGAGAATCTCGGATTTAAGCAACTAACAATCTTAAAGTAAAGGACTGCCGAAGAAAAAAGGAATGCAATGCTTGATCCAGAACCTCGATCTCAAGATCGGATGGGGCATTAAGACAAGGATGGTGCTTGTAGCTTCATGGGCTTCGGGAAGTGGAAGGTTCATCGTCTCTCCATATTTATGTAAAGAATTTCGCAGGTTGGGTGTATTCAGACATGCGTATCTTTCGCTACATATTTGTCATGGTGATAGCGAAAAAATCTCGACACCCGTGATTTTGTCCTTATTCGAGATTGTCGTCTCTGACAACGGGGTTGCTAGAGCTGCAACCCCTATCTGATTAAACGGCGTTGGATTTGTCGGACATGATGAAAATGTGGCTTCGAGTGGCTGATTAGCGTGGCTGATTCTCTTTGCCACTTACAATGCCATTCTTCACGGAGGCAGGAAGGCTAGACAAGACCATCGCAGAGACGCCTCGTGTGAGGCGGCGTGGCCACCAAGCTTCTACCCCTACCACGCAAGCTTCAGTGCCATAGTAACACAGGCTGACGCCCATAAGACTACTCCGTATGCACAATCTGTTTGCAACGCACCAGACAGTCTCAAAGAAACAGTTTCAAGTCCATCAATGATAAACAGATAACGGTCAGCCTATAGCAATCCTCTGCCACGTTCAGTCCGTGCTTTCAATCCTTCATGGGCAGAAGCTGAACGCCTCATGTTTGAAAGTGGGCGTTGACCTCCAGGGCAAGAAAGATCTCAATCCAATCCTCCTATTCCAGGTAAACTTTCACCTGGATAAAGATATCTCTGTGCCTGGGCAAAGATAGTAGTCGGGCCAGCTTACTAAAGAATGCATGTGGTCGCCTTGGAAGCGCTGCTCTGTAATGCGTCGTCGAGGGTCTCGGGACCCATATATGCACAGGGTTATTAGTGTTCCATTCCTAACCCGCAGATACCGTGCCAAATGGGAACCTCGGGATCTTGAAACGGTTGAATGGCTCCATCATATTGGGGATCAACCCTCAATTGGTTTTACTTAGTGTGTAAGAGGTCCTCGTCCTCCCGCATTTTCCCCATCGCTGGGTGGTGGGCTGAAGCTTGACTGGAGTCTTACGCCGGAATCACGGCCCCATCGGAGATCGAAGCTCACCATCCGGGCACAAAGGAAAACGTGCTCTGCCGGGGGCGCGGGAGACTAGACGAACTTACGTCAGAACTTCACATGCAAGGGAGCATGCGGCTAAAGTCCGCTACTAAAGCCTAGACGAAAATACCGGGCTTACAATCCGTCGCCTTCTCGCCTTTTAGTTCTCCTGAGGCTAACCAGAACCCTGAGCTCAAGCGGCTTAGTGGAAGAAGAGCGGGCAGAAATAATGGCCCATCTGTGCGCCTCTTTCTCTTAGGGCTGCAAGGTGGAAGTCTGTTGCTCAGTGCACCACTCACTCCAAAGAAATTCCTGCAAGACCCTGGCTTCCAGCCGCAACGGGATCGACCCGGCTCTGGAACCCGAGTAGCCGGGGTGATCAATGCCATCTGAATTGTGCTCAGAGTTCGGACGAGAATCGACGGACCGCTGCAAGGTCTTTGAAGGCTGTAAGGTTGAGGGAGGCTAGCTTTTGGGGGATCTTGTTCTCCTATTATTACCATTAACTTATCGTGTAAAACATCACCAATCAGCTTTCTTGAAGACAATGTCCAACGAACCCCTCGTGAGATCGCAACAAGTCTTGTAAGTAGGATGAGCTCGAAAGTAAACAAACCAGCTTCGACGAGAACCCAAACAGACTTCCTAAACCAATTTTTCACTCTGGCTCAAATAGGGTACGATTTAATTCGAGATGGTCAAGGCACGGGGCGAATTTGGCCGAGGAATGCGCCACCGAACAAGCGTTTTGCGCCGGTGTCTGCAACAAGATTGCCCGAGCGGCAACAGGAATGATAAGGGAGAGGGAGCACTAAAACTCGGCGTGAACGACGAGACATCAACAACAACAACGAAACGAAGATTAAAGAACACCGGATTGCATGTGAATCTTCATGGGTGTAACCTTAACTTCTTGATCGAACCCCCTTGCTTTCGTTCCGAGCTCACTAGCTACATCCTTACCTCAATCCGCCATCTTTCTCTATATCCTTCTTTCATTCTGCGTTTTGGATTTTCCCAGAGAGGTTGCTTCGATGCCGTTCATAGCAGCAAAAAGATCTCCCACGACCTCGCCTGTCATGCCGTGGCTATCGAGATCACCATCGTATCAGTCACCCACCGGCTCACCACGCACATCACCAAGGAACAGCACATGCGGACCGATCAAGACATGCGGACCTTCAGTAACATACATACCACCACTTATAGATGGAGCTTGTGGAACCGTACCACTAGCACAGAAGCCGACTTTGCCATTGCTTCATGAAGATCTACGGGAAATGTGGCAGATGATGCCGGGTTTGATGGCTTCGCTAAGAACACACGTCGCCAACCATCGTCAGCACCTTTCCAAGAGCCACCTCAAGGACATCGTCATCCAACTCAGTCTGGCCATTGTTGAAGTTGGGATAGTGACGCTTGCCGTTCCCTTGTTCATTATTCTTCCGGGGATCTTGTTCGGAGCTTGGCTAGGAATCTCAATGAGCATGGTCCTGGGTCTGAGTTGGTTGATGAACGGAAACGAAGTTATGATCAACTGCGACGAGTTTGGAAACAGCACAACAGACATTGACGATGATGAGGAGAGATGGATCTTCATTGGCGGGATGGGCACGAGGTAAGTCCCCTTCTCTTTCATCTCTTTTGGAAGCGATCCTACGGAAACTAACACTCACGAAGCTCAACACACCTCAAACAATGCACAATTCCTCGACTCGCCCGCCTTTTCGGACGCTCTTTCAGCGGTATTCAGATGGCCACCTACGGACTCCCCTTCGACATGCTCCTCCTCGCCATCCAGCGGTGCTTCCCTTTCGACACCCAAGCCTCGCGCGCCCTCTACACCGAGCTCCGCACAGCCCTCCTCGACGCCGCCGTCCACCGAGTCGCCGTACTCGCCCACAACAACGGCTCTCTGCCCGTTGCGCACGTTCTCGCTCGCCTCTGCTCCGACATCCAAGCGGAAAAGCTCTCCAAACTGGAGATCTACACCTTTGGTGCTGCGGCTTCGGAATTTGTGGCGCCTCTCGGAGAAACCAGCCGCAAGGTCACCCGCTTTGAGGATGGATCCACCGCGGTGGTTGAAGAGCGTGGTCCTCACATCGAGCACTTCGCCTATGCGAATGACCCCTTTGCGCAAATGGGTGTGCTCCGTTCTGTTCAAAAGAAGCTTGACGGCCGATTCTGCGGCGGCGTTTTCGTGATCCAGAACCAGGTTCCCCAACCCTCTGGCCACTGGGTTCCCGACCAGCGACCCGTGATGCTTCTGACAGACTACCTCTCGGCCCTCTTCCCCGACCCTTCATCGCCGCAAGCACCCAGCAGTATCCTCGACTACGTCATGATGATCGACCGCGATATTGCTGAGAAGCGCGAGCTCGCTGCCATGGCAAACTACGCGCAGACGCGCCGATCCCGGAAGGACAGCCGCCGCCTCAGCTGGACTGGCCTGGGAGCGACTGTCGGCGGCAGAAGCGGCGTCATGGACGGTGTCACCGGACTCGAGATGGCGAGACGCGGATGCCGTGACTGTGATGGCCACCGTGGACGCGAGGTCAGTTGGCTCTCCAACTACGTGCAAACCGGCTGGGTCGTCGAAAAAGAGGCCCACGTCGTCGATGCCATGGGCATTGGAGGCAAGTTTTAACAATCTTGTCTGACCTGGTCTACGCTAGCGTGGCCCCCTAATTTGTAATGTTTTACACCACTTTCTGTACTCTTATCGCTCACAAAAGATGTTTCAGTGGGACGGGGCTGGAGGGTGTTCGCGGGTATTCCCACTCAGGGGACTGTTTTATTTCTCCATTAGCATTGGGTGTCGGGGTTCTTTGGCTAGGAGGACATTGAAAGAATCATGATATAACGAGTTAAATGTATTATGGGATAGAAGGGCTGAGAAGTATCTCGCCCTCTCCACAATCCGCTTGGATAGATGCGGATTTGGAACTGGCGCTTCGGAATGGGCATATAGATGGAACAAGGTGCTAGTTAGAATAATTTCAGACACGTACATCTCCCCAATAGTATGTCTTGATATCCGCCCCAAGGAAGTCGTCATTGTACTCCCGGCCAACCTCGTCGTCAGCAGCACCCGCGCATACCAGCAGAGGCATGAAGTGCTCCGCGCCATAACGAGGGTGCATTTCGTAACTGTGAGAGAATTTTCGCCAGTTGGATAGCGCCTTGATCCGGTCTTCCCGCTTCTCTAGGAGTGCGGCGCCCGTCAACTCCTTGTTCCACTCATTGACCTGCGTCCCGATCCTCTTTGCCGTTGACGGGTCTCCCATCATGAGTGACCGCAACTTCCCCATGTTGTGAAGCGAAGCAAAACCCGACCCGACGACGGCGACGTTGGTGTCGCGCAGAGCTGAGAGGGCCCGACCCATGCGGAAGTGCTCCTCGGGATCCTCAGAGGCCAGTACTGAAAGCTGAATGACTGGAATGTCGGCGGCTGGGTGAATGAGGAGGAGTGGAATGAAGACGCCATGATCCCAACCTGGGTTGAACGTTAATCTAGGTTTACTACAGCTTGCGTGCCATTGCTTGTACTTACCACGACGTGAGTTCATTACCGGTGAGAGACCCTCTTTCTCGAGAGCCTGCTTCAACTCATTTGCGATATTTGGCGATCCCGGAGCGGGATATTTGAGTGCGTATGCCTCCCGCGGGAAACCGCCGTAATCATAGTACAGGTCATGATGATCCCCTGATGAGATGGTCGGTGCACCCTCTGACCAATGTGCTGTCACAACCACGATAGCTCTGGGTGCGTCTGGTGTGTTGAGCTTCAGAATCTTGGGCACGCGCTTTTGGAGTGATGCGGTGATGGAAGCGTGACCAGGGTCTCCAAGAACAGGCATGGGACCTAAGACGTGTAAGTCAGCACTGCGGGTTTCATCGGTCTTCAATGGAGCTCAACGTACCTCCGCCGTGCGCGACGCAAATTGCTGCAGCGCGTGTCATTGTAGATGATGATGTTCTGAGTTTTCGTCTGTTGATCCAATTGATTTTTGAAAGTCGTAGAGTTCTAGTCAAATAGGACAGAGTTCTTGTTTCTGTTGTCATCCGATGCTATTCAAGTGCTATTAAGACCCTTACTAAACCAACGGACGGTGGGGGGACCAGGAGGCTCAAATAGCAACGGCATCCGTTTAGTTGGCTTCGATTTGATCCTTTCTCATTGGTCAAAGTATGATACGCCGGGATTGTCACCGTCCGGGATCAGATTGGTAATACCCGCGCGGGACCACAATGGCAAAGGAATCAACGCCACGACCCTGCGGCAAATCATAACGGCTAGAGCTGATTCAGCTGGATCTAATGTGCTTAGAATGGACCATTTTCAGTATCACTATCTGTTGTCAAGTGAGCCGCCAGTGCAGTTTGATCATGCGTTGTATTACTGTCTTCCCCGCGCGGCTCGGAACCGGGATCGGAATAGTTTCCGAGTCATTAAATGGGTCTTTCAGGTTTCGGTGAATATGAACTACCCGTTGTAAAAGTAGGCCTGGAACCTTCCCACGATTCGTTTACACGAAAACAGACACGGTGTCACGGCCGCTGCCGACAGCACGAATTCTGCCTCCAATCTCAAGCGGGCTGCCCTCGTACACAGCAAAGTGGCGAGCCTTCCTCGACTGCGACTCTTCAATGCCAAGAATCTTGTAGACGTTGGAGGAAACCAGATCCAGCGCCTTCTTCTCGCTCAACCGACCATTGCCATTCTTCTGCGCAATACCGGCGAGTAGTCCCAAGTCACGGATCAACCAATCCTCCTCCAATCCAATGGCAGTGACGACACCAGCGTCTAGGAGAGTGTCAATGGCGGTACCGTTCGTGAGAGGAGCGCCGGTCAGAGAACGTCTTTGGTCCCAGGTGTATGAGTACGACTGAAAAGGTGCAAGAAGCACACCAACACCGGCGTCGGCTAGCTCTGAAGCGACGAGATGAGACTCAGCGCCTCCAATGATGGAGACACGGAGCTTGGGAGACTCCTTGGACTGACTCTTTGCAGCCAAGGCCTCCTCGACTGTGGCCTTGACTCTGAGAGCGGCGACAATGGTGTCCGCACTATGGACTGTCAGGACCAAGGGCAGCTCTCCATTGACCACCTTCTTGAGGTAGGCCGCCTCTGAGAAAGGATCCGATCCGGTGTCGTTGGTCGCAACTGCCTCCAAGAGGGTGTGTCGGAGCTTGCCAATGGCATCAGAGATGGACGGGTTGTCACCTCTCTTCGCGGCGAGAGTCAATGTACGATGAACGGCAACGTCCTCGGCCCAAACAGCACCCTTCTCGAGCGAGTGCTTGGCATCAGTGTTAAAGCCAACACTGGTTCCAGAGTGCGTCAATCCACCTGTGAACTTGGGCGCCGAGATTGCCTTGGTAACGCCGTATTTCTTAGCTATGTGCAGCTTCTTGTTGTCGAGCACAAGGCCGTCAAGACCACGACTGAACCCGGTGGGGTTACGGCCGTTGTCCGTGTCCGCCTCGTTGTCGATCTCGTTGAGGCCAATGAGAGAACCGAATGCAGTGAAAGTCTCGGTGATGTGGCCATTCTTCAGGTCAATGACCTTCTTAGACGAGGACTTGGCAGCTGCAACCTCCTCGGTGCAGGCGCCGATGCACTTGATATCGCCGTTTGAGAACACAACGTTCACCGTCTCGCTGTTGGCTGTGTTGGCCTCCTCGCCCGACAGCCAAACGTTGGAAACGCCAGTGAAAACGACCTCCTTAAGGTCGGTGATGTCCTCGGTAGTATTGGCTAGCTTGGGGTCGGGAATGATAGGGCCGTCAAGAGGCTTCTTAAGCTCAAAAGGATCAGAGAATTGAGCAGCTCCATCAATCCACACTTGCACAGGCGCGGCACCAACACTCAGAGGATCGCTATCCCACACAGCAATGTCGGCATCGAATCCGGGCTTGATCTTGCCAATGCGCTGGCCCAAACCCAGCAACTCGGCAGGGGCAGATGTCACACCGGACAGAGCTGCATGGTAAGGAAGGCCATATCTGTAAGCCTTGGCGGCCTCGAAGAGGACATGCTGGGCGTTCAAGACAGGGTTATCACTGACGTATACGGGAGTAAGACCGTTCTCCCAAAGGATCTTGCCAGCGTACTCGGAGCCAACGTACGACTCGGACTTGTAATACATGTTGTCGGCAAACAGCGCAGAAGCAGGGGGGCGACCACCCCAGACGCGCTTCAGGATCTACATAAGCTTATTAGTGATGGGAGGATCACACGCAAAGAGGGTAGAAAGACGCACCTCGGGAACCAAGAAGGTCTGATGGGCGTGGTGGAAAGCCCGCACCGGGAACTTGAACTCGTTGGTGTGGTCAACGAATGCTTCAAGGTCCGGAATCGTGTAGCAGTGGGTGTTGATGTGCACTTGGCCTCGCAAGGCAGCACTGAGACTCTCCCACTTGAGGTCCTGGGGTAAGTAGGATGACTGGCTCTCCACTCCAAACTTGTCGGCGGCCGCACACCAGTCGTCCTGCTCTTGCACAAGCTTTGCTGCCTGCTCAAAGGCATGGCGGAACTCCCAGCTCTCGCCGAGACGGGAAAAGGGGCTGTGCCCAACCTTTCCGTAGACGCGCTTCGCGTTCTCTCCGCATGCCATCTTCATGTACCGCCAGTTGCGATCCGGGTCCGCCAGCATATCCTCGGCAGAAAGCTCGGTGCGGCCGTCGGGCTTGCCAACGGCATGTTTAATGACAAAGGCCTCGCCTCCCATGTTATTGCCAGAGCCCGGCAGAACCAGCGAGGTAGTTACACCTCCAGACTTGATGACCTGGATCTGTGGGTCGAGGGGGTTGAGTCCATCGATTGAACGGACGTAGGGAGTAATGTCGTTGGACATCTCATTTACATCTTGGTTGCCGACGAGCTCGGGTAGGGCACCAACACCGGCGTGGGAGTGCATGTCAATAACACCGCTGGTCAGTTGGCGGCCCTTGGCGTCCCAAATCTGGGTATCCTTAGGAAGGGAGTCGAGGGAGATGTCGGCTTCGACCTTTTGGATCAGGCCGTAATCGATGAGAACGTCGGCAGTGATCCACGAGTACCCTTTGCCGGCACGCGCATCTTCTGGAGATGTTCCCTCAGCGGCCTCGCCAACCCAGATTGTGGCGTTACGGATGAGCGTCGGGCGCTGGCCGTCGACGAAACGAGCATTCTTCTCTCGACCGAGACCAATTGGATCCTGTGGCTTGTGTCGCAATTTTGCACAGGTCGCCAAGTCCTGCTGCAAACGCTCCGCAGAAAGTGAGGAGGATGGCTCGCGGGAAGGCAGTATCGAGATCTGTTTCCACTGAGCAAAAGCAATGAACGCCAGACATCCCACGATGAGCTTCATGCTGCGTCTGGGTCGTAGCCATCGTTTGTGATGATGAGAGTGCCGGGGGGCCGAGGGCGGCGGGAGGTCTGCGGCGCTGTACGGCGGCAACATGCCGCTCTTTTCCGAATCCATGACAACACCTAACGTTTTGGTGTTGTTTGAAGCAAAAAAGATCAAATAGCAGACGTTGAAAAGTTCTAGGAGCAAGGGATATGTTATACTGGCCCCAAAGCTCTGAGGATTGGGTTCCTTGGGGGAGCCCTTGGCCCAATCAAGAAGGTGACTGACGGTTCGGCTGGATTATCGGCCGACGTTTCAAACCCAGAGCGCAGACATCGCCGACGACAATGAGCTTTGGGAGTATCTGGAGGGGCACACGGGGAAGTGATCGCTTCTCTTCGGTCGCGACTTCGGCAACGTGAGTGGTCAATGACATGGATGATGGTGAGAGCGTGGAGTCGAATGAGGAGCTCACCCTTGCCAGAGCTTGCGTGATTACGTAGCTGAAGAGATAAGCTCTTGCTGACTTATGAGCTCTCTGAAGCACTCACGACCTTGAAGAATGATGACTAATCTCAGAATCCTTGGTTTCTTTATCTTATCTTCTCATACTCTTATCGATTGCCGGCATGTCAGGTCCGATTGCGGGGTACCTTATGTACGTTATCTTTAGAGTCATGCATAGTCACCACTACCTTAGGCAGGGAGGCATTCACTCCCCATCATCAGCTTCATTGTTTACAAGAGTCTTTCGAGTCCACCACTACTGGCAGTGAGATGTATTGTCTGATAACTATGTCCTGGCTCTGCTTGGTGAGGATTCCTCAAATACTCGATTGTGCGGAGACATGCCATAAGCGATCCTAGTACTCAGTGACATGAGAATGTGAAGCTAGCTGCATTACTTACTCACCTTCGTATCTCTTTGAGACCTCTTAGGCCCTGTTTCCGTCAGTTCGGGAACTGACTAAAGGTATGTGAGGATGGATATTGACGTTGCGTGCGCTACAGCCAGGGAAATGACCCCTTTGGGTGAACTACATGTGGCTGGGGCAGGAAGGTCGAGCCGATGGTTGAAGCATTGCGATGCTCAGGTTCTATTACGTATAATCTGATCAAAAACCTGACATCGCGACACTACAGCCCGACATCATCAGATACTTTGGAGTCGTCTTGTGGGGTGGCAAGCCAAGGCGTTTGCGGGGAAGCATCGGAGTCAAGTCAACATTCCAGGCGGGAGACCTACTGCGTGGTAGAATGCCACGCTATGTGCTTGATACGCTATTTACGCTGGGTCTGATGTATGCATGCAAAGTTGGAGAACACGGCATGCGTTGTAGGGTAGGGTCTCTTTCCACTGCCCAAATGAGGTGCATCTTATTGGCCCAGCCAATCGAGGCCAGATGATTGCCGGTGGTCTCAATCTATTGCCCAAAAGAGGTATCGTGGCTCTGGGGCGGGTTCCCACGATTCGGAAAGTCTACCCAGTACTAGCGGAGACTTAACGTGTCCGGCTGTCTGGGCCGATAACGGTCTCCTCTCGGCTCCTCGACTTGTATCAGGGATCCTCGCCGTATAAGTTTGCTGTTATCCTGAGTCAGGTCAAGAGTTCGTTACTGCGCTGAAACGATTCAACTTATCCCATCTTCTTATAGCCACATTAAACATCTTGCCTTCTAGACTTCGCCTCTCACATTATTTCCAAACGCCGATATGTTCCTCCTCTCGGCTTTGGCTGTAGCTGTACTGCTATTCTCCGCATGGAGGTGGAAGTGGCGATATGCCACAAAGGTGTGTCTCCTTATCTTTCAAAGATCCCACGGAAACGTCTGACTGTGTTAAGGAAAAGCTCGTCGGGACTAGCTTGCAGGAGAAATCAGACGAAAAGACCGACATAATGCCTCTGAAAGATTTTGACTGGCAGGACATCGATCCTGCCAAGCACCGGCCATTCAAACCAGTCTATCACATCACCATGGGTACCACGACCCTTGCACATGAATCTTGCTTACATTCTAACGGATTATCATATTAGCCATCCAAGCAAGTCCGCCAGAAGACCTCATCATTATAGACAACAACTACCTTGATCGAGTGACCGAGCGTCGTCAGCTTCTGGATGAGCATACGTCAACGGTAGCGGGCGCTGTGCCAGAAGGCCTACCTGCCCTTCATGAGGCCTGGACTTATATACTCTCAGAGTATCTGCCGAAGCGATATCCAACCATGTTCTCCTTGTCCGAGGACAAGACTAAGTTCCATAACCATGTTACCAAGACATCACTGCCCCTCGCGCCGCCGGAGGACCCCGTGACTGCCCTCAAAGCTCTTGGAGAGACCGTGGAAGACGACATCTTTTTGCTCGTTGAGACACCAGAGGGCCATCGTTGCGTGGCGTTCGTTTGCTGCCATCCTGCTGGATTCGATCCGTCCAACAAGCTCGGAAAGCTGATGAAGGACATTCACACCCCGGTGCCGTCATATGAGAAGATTGGTGCAAGCATGGAGCGCTTCTTCTCTCGATTACAGGTTGGGAAGAGCGTCAAGCGGATGAACGTGAGCTTGCTTATTCTTGGATACGGAGGCGTTCCGCTGATGAATTGATATAGTGGTCTGTTTCGACGCATGAGAACCTCTTTAGCCCGAGCAACTTGCACATTTATGAAGGCGACAAGACAGAAGAGGATGAGGATGTCGATATTTCAAAGGTGAGATGGCCTTCCTTGAAACTCAATGTACCATTTACCAGGAAGCTCATACCACCCACTCAGGCTTGTTTGCGCCAAGAACTACAAACCTTGACCAGACTTCCCAAGACGGGAGCGATCATGTTCTCATTCAAGACGTATCTCACGCCCATAGAAGAGGTGAAGAAGGAGGGGTGCGGGCTCATACTTGCGGACGCCATAGAAGGGTTGAAGACGGGTAATGCGCCTGGCATGTGGGTATACAAGGGGGCGTCGCGTTGGGGCAAAAGTGTTTGTGAGTACCTCAGGTCGTGATGGGAGCCAGGACTATCGAAGATGAAGAAGCGGGTTTTTGGTCGGTTAGCCAGGAATATAAGATGGACTGATGAAAGTATCTGGAGAGCAGGAATGATGAACCAATTCAACGGTTGCTGCCCTTTCTCGACCTGACATAGCTGTCCTCTCTCCATAATGATGATTGTTGTCTTGCATATGTTGCTTGTCTATTGATCAGGGCTGATCTGAAGCCCTAGGAAGAAAATCGGGGCGGCTTGCGGACAGTCCACAGTCTCGGGCCCGGGTATGCATGCCTATCTCGGGAGATCTCCCGCCTTATTCGCACTTCTTAACATTCAATCCCAATAAGCAGTGTATCCGTACCCTTGTGTTCTATTACATACTTAAGGTGAATTAAGGTGAGTGATAGCCGAAAAAAAGAACGTTATTTCGGGTATAACACATCACGTCATTGGAAGTCTTTCCCGCCGCCACGCCGTCGCCCACAACCCGACGGTGGTAGCCGATGAAGGCGGCAAAAAGGCTTGCAGTTTGACAGGCGGGCGGTGGCTTTCTCAAATTGAGTTTTTTTGGGATGAACTTGGGTGCTTGAATATTGGCAATTGTACACTACGGCGAAGGCCCAAAGAAGGGTATTCCCGGTTGTGCCGAAAAGGGGCGCTTGCGGCTTGCTCGTTTGGAGACGGCCCCGATCCGGCCTAGCGGGCCCACCCCGAGCCCCGTGTGCAAATTTCCCACCAGCAGAAGCTTCGCACCTGGGCGGCTCTCTCTCGACTTCAACGTGCGTTCTCGCAGTCTTGTAGCACCCCCTGCATCGTCATCCATACAAGATGCAAACGAGATGTGGGCTCGACTTCATTAATATCAAGCGCCCACTCAACACCCTGTTCATTTCTCTCTGGCTGTGTTGGTCCGCCTCTCCCACCCGAGCCCAGGCCCTGGTCTTTCCATGACTCCTTTCGCTGCGGGATCCTGCAGTTTCTGCTTCTTTGCTCCTAGCCAAAGTTGCTACTGTGTATGGGGCATGCCTTGCCTTGCCTTGCCTTGCCTTGCCGCCGCAACCTGGGACCTGCAGGCCGCACACGTACGGAAAAGGCGTGGCCTCATCAACCATGGCCTCACCTGAAGTCAGGGACAACTCCGCAATCTAATCCCACTCACTGCGGACGGAGTACGTAGTAGTGCGTACAGGCCTAATTCGCTTGACAGAGGCTTGCAAGATGCATCCGCTGAACCGGGAAACCTTGCCGTGAAACAAAGTGCTTCTGCAAGGCCCATCTCCCCAAAGGAGCCTTCTACTCTATTCCTCGCAGCTAAACCTGCGGGGTCATCTCCTTTCCAGGAACCACGGAGCGAGGATGGAGTTGAATCTTCATCCCAAGGGTTAGAGTCCAGGAAGCCGAAGGAGACCTACATAAAGGAGCTGGTCTGCCAACGCGTAATGCATGCCTCGTTTCGTTTGAGCTTAGCTACATTCTCTATCGTACATTGAACTTCCTCAAGCAAGGCCAAGGCATCGATTGCTGCGACCTGCGTCCTCTCTTTCTTTTCGAAACATTCCATTCGCTCAAACCCTTGAATTCAAGCTTTCTCCAAGCCGCCCGGTCGGTTTAGGCATATACACGCTCACTTACACCCCAAACTCCCAAGCCAACCACACAACCAACCCGCAAGAATGAAGTTCACATGGAGCATCGCCAGCGCGGCTCTGCTGGCCACCCGCGCCCAGTGCGAGATCCTTTGGGATGGTCGTTTCAACGACATGACCTCTGCCACTGACCTCGACAAGTGGTCCTGGAGCAGCCAGGTCGGCCCCTACCAGTACTACATCCACGGTTCCGGCGCCACCACCGACTACGTCAACCTCTCTTCCGACTTCAAGAACCCGGCCGACACGGGCTCCAAGCAGGGTGCCAAGATCTCCCTGACCAGCACCTCCTTCTGGAACGGCCAGACCATGCGCCGTACCGAGCTCATCCCCCAGACCACCGCCGCCATCGGCAAGGGCAAGCTCTTCTACCACTTCTCCCTGAAGCGCAGCGACACCAACGCCCCTTCCCTCAACAAGGAGCACCAGATCGCCTTCTTCGAGAGCCACTTCGTCGAGATGAAGTCTGGCTGGCAGAGCGGCGCCACCGGCACCGAGGACCCCCTCCTCCGTTGGGTCGTCGGCGGCAAGACCGAGTGGAGCGTCAACTGGGACGCTGACGTCTGGCACAACGTTGCCTACGAGATCGACTTTGACGGCGGCTCCGTCGGCTTCTGGCACTCTACCGGCGCCGAGGCCCTGACTCAGGTCGTTGCCCCCGTCACTGCCTCCGCCTCCAGCAACGGTGCCGACTGGCACGTCGGTGTCCTCGAGCTCCCCCGTGACGGCTACGCCGACGAGACCGAGGACTTCTACTTCTCCGGCGTCTACATTGAGAACGGCGAGATCACCAAGGCCGTCGGCTCCGGATCTTCCGACACCGGCTCCTCCGCCCCTGCCTCCTCTGCTGCCCCCGCCGCCACCTCGGCCGCCGCCGCCTCCTCCTCTGCTCCCGCTGCTGCCGCCCCTACCACTGCGGCTCCTACCACCACCGCCGTCCCTACCACCAGCGCTGCCCCCGTATCCTCCGCCGCTCCCGTCGAGTCTGAGCCCGCTTCCTCCTCTGCTCCCGTCGCCACCCCCGTTTCCTCTGCCGCTCCCGTTGTCTCCGAGGAGCCCTCCGCTCCCGCTGCCACTACCCCGGCTGCTGCCACCACCAGCTCTGCTCCCGCTGCCTCTGCTAGCGCCAAGCCCGCGTGCCGTCGCCGCCGCCGCCGCAACCACGCCAAGCGCAACTAAGCGTTTCCGCTGTTGATTGGAGCTTGAGGAGAACGAACGCTGCTTGGGTGTCCCTTTGGACTCCGAGGCAAGGATAGGACCACTTCTGATGTACATATCATTTTTGCATATAAGACTTGTCACTGTGCCTATTGGACTTAGTTTTGAATATATTCTTCAGTGTACGATACCAAAGCTGCCCGCTCTTTTGATGTCTGAACTGCGATGAAGAACTAGTGACTCACCACTTGACGATTCCCTGGCTATGTTGTATTGCTGGATTTGCCTCTAGTAACAAGTGGTGAACGACGAAATTTGGCAGATTTTTGGACCTTCTTAGGTGACTGAACAAGCTCGTACACTAGAGATACTTTGCTACCTGCTCTTCAGTCCATTTCCAAAAGTCTTCGGCGAGACCCGTACCGCCATCTTCGCGGGACTTGGAGCCCTGGACAAGGTCATCCCGAATGGCATAAAAACGACCCCAGGGAACAACTGTAAGACGTCTGATTAGCAACTCATAAAATTCAGCAGACAAGGTCGGACGCACCCCAATCGCCCGTCTTCTCAATTGTCACATCGGGAGATAACGCCGCAAATAATTCCGTGTAAGCGCCATTAATGGCAGGATATGTGGTGGCTTTTCTGAACAGCGTCGGGATCAGCGCCGTGATGTGGCGATCCAGCTCTGATGAAAGGTTTCCCGGATTCAAGGCCTTTGGATAGTTAGTTACCCATTTCACATGTTCTTGACCAGATATTTGCCAAAACTTACTAGACTGATGACGCCGTCGGCTTTGTGTCGCTTGGCGAACTCAGTAGAGTGGAAGTAGTTGCCTGCCTTGCTGATGCCGTACTTGAACTCCTTGATTCTATCTCTACTGTAGTCGAGATTATCGATCTCGATGGCAGGGTTGGGCGACAAGACCTCCGCGGCTGAGCTGGAGACCCAGACAACACGACAACTGTCTTTGGGTGCCGTCCTGGCCGTTTGCACCAGAGTCGGCGTCAGCAACTTGGTGAAGAGGAACGGGCCGACACAATTTGTTCCGAGCTGTAATTCGTACCCCTGGGCTGTCTTGCTTCCCTGAGGCGGCATCATGACACCGGCATTGTTGATGAGAAGATGCAGTTGCGTCTCCTTGGCGAGAAAGGCATCTGCTGCGGGTTTGATGGTGGTGAGGTCGGCCAGATCCAGAGTGAGGAGATCCAGCTTTCCTGTAGAATTAGGTACCGCCTCCTTGATAGCGTTGATGGCTGAACGGCCCTTTTCTTCCGAACGAGAGGTAGCGTAGACAGTGGCGTTCTTGGAGTACAGAATTTGTGCGACTTCCTTGCCAACACCGGTGTTTGCTCCTGTAACGATGCAGATCTGCGACGTGTAAGTATCAAGCGAGTCATGATGAGGGTATTACGTGAGATACTGACTCTGCCAGAGAGATCGGGAATATCCTTCTCTGTGAATTGCGGCCGCGGCGGAAAGGCCTGGGTGAAGATGCTGAAAGGGTTGAGCATCCTGACTTGCCTCCCTTATAGCAATCTCGAAGCAAGAAACGGCGTAACCTAGATAATGTAGGACAGAAGTAGTGAGAATAATAAGAATATGGAATAACTCAAGTGCGATCAGAGAGACCAACGTCACCAATCCAACGGTTAGACACAAGCGCAGTAGATAGACTGATAGTCTGCAGAAGATGGTCAAGCAGTGACCGCCAGAGACTTCATTGGCCCGAAGCTAACTTGGAATAGTGGAGTGCGCCTTTGCCGATTTGGGAACCGCTCTAGACCTCACCGAGACTTAATCTAGTTTCTGATTGGCTTACACACCGAAAAAGAATCCCACCGGCCAGACAAGGTGCTGACATGCGATCGAAGTCGTCATAAGACATAATCAATACTTAGCAAGGTAGGTAGGTTGAAAATACTCTCTATAGGCACTTGAAGTCATCTTGATATATGGTAATTATCTTACTTGAATATGACTGAATATGACTACCTGATTTGCTTACTAAGATAGATATACCATGACAATAAGATAAGACTGGGTGAAAACTCCAGAGGCGCCTTCCCCAGCCGTATAATGCAAGCCGAGCCACGTGATGCTTGTCAGGCGACCGGTGTGGGGTGGGGCTGCCGAAGGAACATCAGCCGGGAGTCAATTCGGCAATGTGATTGGCACGGCGTCGAGGTCTGGAACTGATGGCAGCACGAGCCAACGTCTAATGCACAACTGCAAGACAAGAAAGAACCCAAAGACCACTTTTTTTTCTGTCTTTCCGTCCTTTCAGCCACACATAACCCGCACTTGGGCTTTCTATTCGTCGGCGTTGTTTTGGTTGCTGAGGTATCTCATTCTCCCCTGCTGCGGATACCTTACCTTACCTCACCTTACGGAGTTCCCGTACTACGTACAGATACACTACCAACAGACTACCCGGTCTTCAGAACAGACCACACGCTAAGGTGCCGACCGAACAAGAACCAAACATCGGAAAGTGTGAGCCTCACCTTTTCTTGCCCGGGCCACAGATCGCACCACACACTGCACACTGCACACTGCACCGACACCGCACATCCGTCGCAACTGGTCGTTTGGGACAAAACCTCGCCGGTCCATTCTCACACCCCCAGATCAACTTCCACGTCTCCCAGCGACACGTTATACCCATCAGGTGCATCAGCTCTCTTTCGCGACTCCCGCCTTGGCAGCCACGCCCCACCAAGAGATCGTCCTCTCTTCAGCCTTGTGCGTGTGTGTGTGCCGGCACGTTGATGCACTCCGCCGCGATATAAAGAAGCCAGAGGCGTGGATCGTGCTGTCCCACTTTGCATCTTCCATTCGAATTCGAATTCTCATGCCCCTCGCGCCTTCCCACTGATGCCAAGCTGAGGTACGGATCGTCAAAGATATGCTCTGATTCGAGGCCAACCAAACAATCCACCTACCAACTCTCTTCTTGCCGATCCCTCAGCTTCTTCCACAATCGACCGGCCAGCTGCGTCTCCAAGTGCTTCACCATACTCTTGCGCAACAACTCCAACCGACCGTGCACCTGCGACTATCGGTCGCTCCGGATCGAATATCGACACATCTACAAAACACTACTCCAGGAACATCATACACTCTGGCAGCAATATGTCTCTTCCCCGTATGTTCCTGCGCTTTAGGTCTTGTTGCCTGCAACGCTGTCGCTAAACTGATTTCTGCAGTGAGCTCTGAAGATGAGGATAACTACACGGCCATCATAGATGGCATCCTTGCGACCGCGGACTTGACGACCATCACTCGCAAGAAGATCCGTTTGGGTCTGGAGAAAGCTCTTGGCGGGAAGGACCTGACTGCTCAGAAGGTAATTATATACCCAGTAATCCCACTGCCAGCTGCAGACATACACCTACCAATAACCTGGGTCAAAGCTAACACAGATGCTTGCAGGATGCCATCAAGGCGCTGATAGAAGAGCGATTCGAC